CCTATTTTTCTACTTGCATTTTTACATCCTTTCAAACTGCTAGGTTGGCAGAAGTTGGGACAAGTAATGGGAGCTCACTCCATTACGCAGTGCTAGGGATTCAAAACACTGAACTACCAACCTTTCTGAGTGACAAACTCAGAGTCTTAGCCACTGAGCCACCCTTCAAGCCTTCTTATCGCTTCCATAAATGATAGAGGAGACTTTCCTCTATCAATAGATCTCCATGCCATTGAGGATCCCCAGAGTGTTGTCTTCCAGAGACCTTCTATAGTTAGCAGAAGGTTCAACATTCTAGGAATTCACTATCTGCATATGGAGGACAGCATGAGGATGGTGAAACAAGCATGCTCATCCCTTTTTCCTCAAGGTGTCAGTGAAATTCACTGAGAAGGGCTCATTTCAAAATTTAAGTAACTATGAGGGCTAATCTTATCTATCATGCAATTAAAGAAACTAAAGCTGTTTCAAATTCTATTCCACATATTCTTCATCTCCCAATAAGTTCCTCCAAGATTCTCTGGCTGATTGTACAGCATTCTTTTACTGGAATTTACTGGGGAGACCAGCTAATTTGCACGAAATATCTCTACGGCAATGCTTGGATTGTCTGACTTTTGGTGGGTTCTAAATAGGAACTTTCCTGGCTTTATGTTCAAATAAAAACATCAGGTTTGCAATGGGTTTTTATTTTTTAAATAATAAACATAACTGGACTTGGACTATCAGGGTACCAACATTCAAAGTCTAAACTCTCAGGAAACTGATATGGTTACATTCCCATCCTCAGTCTGAGCTCCCATTCCACATAAAGCCATTTTTAGCTGCTTTGGGAAGAATTGCCCCTAATAATTTATTTTTCCAAAACAGTTCTCACTAGCTTGCTGATCTTTCCTTCTTGTGCAAAGTCAGAGTTGTTTTGGCAATGTAAGGAACAGCATGAGGACAGTTAAATATACATATATGGCTGTTATGATATTTTGTTTTGAGCAAAGTAGTGTTACCTATTTCAAGGAATTAACTGGGAATTAACTTTTGGTTAGGAACTGATCCATTGAACATAATTTCCTTGTAGAACCGACTCATCTTAAAATAAAGATATGAAATGTATTGAAACTAACCTCACCCTTATTTTGCCATCATTTTTCATTTTTCAAGATGAAGAATGGTCTGCGAACACTAACCAATAAATTCTAATTGACATTTGCCCAGAAGCTGTGAGAGTCAGAAACATAGGATCATCTCCCAGAGAAATCTTTTAAGTTAGCATGGTGACGGATCAGAATGTCATTTTGTTAAGTATCTTTTGGATTGAAGCCCATCTGTGTGGGACTTGCATCCTCAATTGCATAATTCTGTCTCTATTTTAGCCAATCATACAATCTGAGTATTCAACTTGACAAGGCACTTCAGTTTGCTTGGGTTTTTGGTTCTTCCTGAAACATGATTCTCAAGTGCAGGCATGTATACAGATATGCAGATGCAAAGAACACAAACATTTTGCCTCTTTCCCACAATAGGCTTAATTCATCCCAGACCCCTGTATACTGACAATGGCACTCTGAACTGTAGTTGAACTCCCAGTGGTGGCTGTTTCTCAAGTGTTCTAGGAAAACTTAAATTTAAAAAGAAAAATAGATAATCTTACAGCTTTCAAAATGCTGACAGCTTCTTTGCTAAGCCATACTGGATATAGCACATCATCATGTAGGATAGACTCAAAGAGGTCATCTTCATTATCAGCTTCAAAGGGAGGTTGTCCAGCCATCATTTCATACATGAGAACCCCCAGTGCCCACCAATCTACAGAAGGACCATATTCTAATTCCTGGAGGATCTGTTAGGAGAAATCAAGAAAAAGAAAGAGAGAAATTAATGGATAAAAATGCACATGAACAATTTATTTTGCCTACTTTTGAAGAAGAAAGAATTCATAGAAAAACCACAAAGATGATTAGGGGTCTGGAGGTTAAACTATATTATGGTTGTGGGAACTAGGTATGCCTAGTCTAGTGACGAGAAGGACTAGGAGTGACATGATAGTAGTCTTTCAATACTTGAGGGGCTGTCCTAGAGAAGAGGGGGTGAATCTATTTCTAAAGCACCTGAGAGCAGGTTAAGAAGTAAGAAGGTGGACGATGTTAAAGAGGGAACTAACCAATAATTAAAAAGAAATTTCCTGACAATCAAAACAACTAATCAGTGGAACTGCTTGCTTCCAGAAGTTATAGGTGTTTTATTACTGGAGGTTTTCAAGAAAAGATTAAACAACCATTTTCCTGGAATGGTATAGGGTCATGCTTAACCAGGGGTTTGGATTAAAAGACCTCCAAAGTCCCTTCCAACTCTGTTTTTCTATGATTATATGGAATTATTTTTTAAAACCAGTTTCAATGAAAGACACTTGGACTTTAAATTAAAATCTATAAATTCTTTGAAAAAGTTTCAGTGTGTCACAATTTCTGCCCATTGTTTATCAGTAAGAACGCTATTCTACCCATCCAGTATAAGACACTAAGCCTAGTGTCTATCAATGAAGCTGAATGAAAATAGATTTACATGAGAAAAGAAAATGCAGTTCTTCACTTAGGATACTGTTAACTTACAGAAGTTCCTATCAGGTGATATGATTAAATCTGATGATGGACATCACTTAATTGTACTGCAAAGGAAGCTAGCAAATTCATGTGAAAAAAAGATTGAAAAGTCACTGATTCTTATGGATCTTCAGAGGGAGACGCCTGCTGTTAAACTCCTATCATGGTTGTAAACTTTACTGTTGTTGGCTGTAATATGAAAAAAATACTAGAAGAAATAGGCCTTCATTGTGCTCCAACAGAGTTTTTCCTGGTTTTCCTCTGTTTTATGTGTTTCATGGAATTGTTTTCTGAATGGTACTGGAAAATTTGTATGGCAAGCACACATTAATCCTAATTTTTACCAAATTTGTATTGTGATGTACTATAGTCATCAGCATACTCAATCCTAAATAGTATTACATAGAAAGTATTTGATTTGAGTTTTTCATGGAGGGATAAGTAAATTAGCATCATAAAAATAGAGTTCTATACACTTCAATGCATACTATTATACCTCTGGAGCTATGTAGTCTGGTGTTCCACAAAAGGTAGTAGTTGTTACTCCATTCAAGATTCCTTCCTTGCACATTCCAAAGTCAGCCAGTTTGCAATGACCTTCTGCATCCAAAAGAATATTGTCCAGTTTCAGGTCCCTTGAATAAGAAACAATCAAGAAGTTCTTAGCAATAAATAAAAAGGGTGTACGTGAATATATTCCCTGTGAAGAGAAATAGGTACCTTTTCCATATTCTAATAGAGAGATACAAGTGTTAAATAGAGAACGTGGAGTACTCTCAAACTATATCCTACTTCATAGTATTTTAAGATATCCTCCCAAGGAAAAGTGTGATTTTTCTACCTCTTCTGCAAACAAAGTGTATTTTTCTCTAATTTGCCTGGGTATTTATTTATAGGTGGAAAATGTCCCGACAAAACGTAATTTGTAATGTTGGATTTTCCCCGTTACCAGAGGGAGCTCCCTTGTGGGGTACTGTGAATCCATTACAATGGTAACTCCACTGCGCTGAGCCATTTTACAGCAATACAGTAGAAGTCATTTGAAGGCACAATAGGTTGTATTGTAACAGAACACACACCCTGAGAGGTGTCTTACCCCCAAAGTATTTGTTTCTAGAGAGTAAGTCATCTGTATACCAAATTTGTATGAAATTGCTCGAGGCATTATAGAGTTATGCTGGAACACACACACACACGCACACACACACACACACACACACACAGAGCTAGC